AGGGATATGTCTGTGTCTGGACCATATGTTTATTTCCTTTAGCCTTACTAAAAGACTGCAATGCAATTTAATTGAGGCAGAGGGAGGTCTCCTTTGGGTCAGAGCCATGTTTCACTTCTGTGAAGCTTAAGAGATGGTTAATTTATATCAATATTATATTGGGTAAAATAACCCTGATACTGTTCAAAGTTGGACCAAAAGTTGGACTCTGCATAGATATCTCTTAGTCCTAGTGACATCACGTTAGTTTATTTTGGCTTTCGTGAAGGTACCATGACTGTGAAGTAGTTTTCACAATTGCTTATGCTGGTAAATAATTGCAGTAAAGAAGTACCTTGTTGCATTATTCTCAGCAGCAATGAGACTGATTAATCACCCAGGCTCAGAGTCTCATTAAATATAGTTTCCTTAAAATAGATAATTCAGATAGAATATATAATATTGAATTTAAATAAGATTTGGGGGTTTAAATTTTAACTTTATAAAATTATTTATTCTATTTTAAGCCTTCTGTCTTAATTTACCATCCAAGTATTTTTGGTTTCAGTGGTCCAGCTTTATTTACGGGCATATACAATGAAATTGTAAGATGTTTTAACAAGCTTCTTCATTTTATATTGAGTTTGAGTAGCTTTTATTTGTATGTTTTTGTTTTGTATGGATAAAGAGCATTACTTATGCTTTTGTGCAATAGGTTGAGACATGCGTTTATCATTTATTAGGCATATGTTTAAATTGTAAATGAAACATCTACTTGCCGTTGAATTTAAAAGGAATGTAGATGGCTTTTCTCACTTGTTCAAATTGGGTTTTATTTGGGGGGTGTTTTTTGATTTATTCCTTTTTTATTTTAGGAGTGAAGTGTGGGATTTAAATTTGTATAAGTACAAGAACTATCTGTCAGCAATATTTTAAAATAAATGATCTTGCAAGAAGCTGTAAAGTGAATTATGGAAGCAACCTGCAAGACTTGCAGCCTATCTGAAAATGTTTTGTGCCATTGTTATGTCTGGTATATTTGTGTACCATCAAACCTGGGAATATTTCTATTGGTTGTGCAGTAGTATACACAGCACTAGCACCTCTGGGGATATGGAACCATAAAAAATATCAGACTGCAGCTATGATGGTGCTATTTTTTTCCAGTAGGCTATGAGCTTTTGAAAACTTATCTGGCTATAATTGTCTTTGTAACAACATAGTTAGTCCTAGGAGATTCATTGAGGTTTTTTCTACTGGATGGTAAATATAACCATATGACTAGCCTATTTTACAGCATTGTGCATCTTACCATTGAGCTAAATATAACAGGAAAAAGCCAACCAGTCTATACATCAGCAAGATGAATCTTAAGTACTTAAAATGCATTTTGTACAGAAGGCTGGACTGTACAGAAAAATCAAGTTTCTGTATTTCCTCAGGTAATCACTTCAGTTTGGAAGTCTCACTGGAAATATGAATGCAACCTACGCTTCAGTTAGTCTGCCTAAAGTTGATAACAGGGCAAAAAATTGTCCCGTACACTAGAATCTCTACGTAAGATATAATTAACTGTAACTAAGGTCTTGAGATCTGTTGTTGAAGTAAAAAGAAGTTGAAGGGGGAACACCATTAAGGAATATGGAACAACGCTTCAATCTCTGCTTTAATCAAAACTCGTGATCAGTACTAACACGTTACAGGAACTTGCGTCCTGTGGCAAGTCAATGGGGATGTTTTACTGTGGAGTTATAGTTTATTTATTTAGATACAAATTATAGCTCTGGTCCTGCTATTTGATCCATATTTGATCATTCTTAGGGCATCTTGGAAATCTGTCAAAGCCACAATGACCTGTTCAGATCCTAGTGGTAGGGTAGCAACTAAATATCCAATTCTGTGAACTTGGTATATTGGCAACTTTGCTGATAACTTGGATGGTTCCACAGAAACCAGCAGGATCATTCTTGTGAACGGTTAGGTGTGGCTGAAGGAAGGAGCCCTGATTTTTGAATACTGATGTTCAGGATTATTCTTATTTTTGTTTAAAACTCATTTAATGGAATCTTTAATTCAAAGTGACTTACCTGGACAAAAGGAGAGTTTGTTCTTTCCTTCTGCGACAAGATTATTTTACAGTTAAGGGACAATAAGCCAGTGCAACCACTAAGCCTTTATCCTCATATGTGGCATAATAAAGATTCTGGAACTGTCACAGTGTAAAACCATATTTTTGGCTTAGCTTCATTTGAAAGTTTACAAATTTTTATGCTTTGTGTTGCTGTGTAATTTTTGTACTATTGGTGGCTAGTTTTGTCTGAATAAGCCTTCTGGGACTATTGCTTAATGTTTTGATTTTATGATAGTGAAGCTTGTATCCGGTGTTTTGCCAATTAATATTATATGCTTGATAATAAAAGCAGAGAAACTAACTGAAATACTGTCAGGCTGGAAGTTATTGTCCAATTTTTGCCCAAGAGCATAATATCATAATATCATAGCACTGAACAAACACAGCATGACTGAAACAATGGTGGTGGCATTTCTTTGTCATAATCAGCCTTTTATTCAAAGCACAAGCATGGCCTAAAGTATTACTCCACATCACAGAATGGCAATATGCCTGTGACAGGTAACTGCCAGGTGGGAAAAAAATGGCTTCAGGTACAAAGAGGAAAAACAGTTGCACTGATGTCTTTATGTACCTGTGGATGGAAAGGTACTTGCCTGACCTGTACCTTCAGTCTTAGTTGGTGATGTTGATGCGCAGGGGCTGACTGCAGTGTTCTAGAACACACACATCACTTAGACACATGCCAAATTGAAAAGCATATCCACACACATTCTGATTTATTTTACTTTGGTGAGCTGCTAGGGGGAAAAAAAGTTCTCTTACTTATAGGAAACTTTGATTAATGAGATGAATATGTTTTGCCTTTGAAAAAACTGGTCTATTGTGGTATTTGGCAAACATTGGTGCTTGGCCTCTTCATAACTTTAAGA